GTGTGTGTGAGAGACAGTCAGTCAGGTGGCTGTGACATTTTCAGTGGGGTCAGAGGTCGGCCTTCAGAGCAGCAGTGACTTCAGTCAGCTGGGGAAACCTTTCCTAACAGACACAGTGGGTCTGGTTGAAAATCAGCTTTGTACAATTTTGCTCACTTCTCTTCTTTCAGTCTTCATTTTCACTTTTCTGGCCCTCCTGATTTTTCTTTTTTCTTTTCTAGTTCATGCTCCTACCATTTTCTTCTTTTTTTTTTTTCTGGCTAAGAATACTTCAGACCATTATGGACTCACTCCCCGGTGCACCGTCCACCTGCAAGTACTGAGTTGCCAACAAGATTTGTAAAACTCTTTTGTAACAGGTTCATAGCATATTGTCGTCCAAAACGTACCGCTCCATTTTAAAAGTGAAAAGTATCTAGCTCATTTGTTCAATGCGAAAAAAAAAAAAGACAAAATGGGGATATTTAACTGGTGTGAATGGAGACTTTACATTAAAAACCAAGGACAATGCTGAAGGCAAATGTCTGGCTGTACTGTAAGATTCGGATCATGCTAAACACCCTGAAAATCTTGCCCAACTTTCTATATGAAAAGGCTCAGTACAATTTTTAAATTGAACCATTCAAAGAAAGCTCAAATGATGCCCCAGACGTGATTATGAAAATGAGCTCTCAAGACTACACATTGTCCGCACAGGGGATTCTTACATCACGCAGGTCTCTTCAAGTAGGCTATCAATATTGTCTCCCTTTGCTCTTCATTTTTATGTTACGCTGAGCTTTTAAGAAACATTACATACTTGTATAACCACAGGCAGAAATGTTATTGAATTGTGGCCACAAACAAACGGATTTAGGGCAAGAAAATGACACTCGGTTCTATTCAGTGTGAACACAATGGTAACCAAATGTTGAGTAACTTTTCATTTGTATTTTTCATCAAATATAAGGTGTCCCTGGCCCACATAATATGAATAGAAATGATATATATGGGGTCAACCGTTTTGTTGCCATCATTGCATAACTTGGTAATAAAAGTGTTCGTGCGATGTAACTCACAGTAGAACAAGTAGATGGTTGTTGGAACACTGCATTGTTGGAGTAATAAAGCAAACCAGTGGCAGCCAATAGATGTAATGGAAAAATATTTTTCCCCTAATGTTATTTCATTCAAAACCGAGCTTTCACGCTAATCATTTGTAGTTTTATTTTATTAAGTCTTATTTTAGTATTAAACTGGCTAGCTGTCCCCGTCATAAAACATATATTGGTTTTGAGTGGAAACCAAAGAGGGAGATTTCAAATCGTATAATGTTTTCTGCAGTTCTCGTCTCTTATCATGCAGAAAACTATGAAAATGTTCATGGATGCAAAAAAAAGTCTTATTTAATTTTTATGTATATTCTACATATTTAGATGTTTACCCATACCAGCAGACGGCTGAAGGGATGGCAATGTAAGTTGGTTGGTTGGTCCACCACTTCAGTCCAGGCTAAAAATGTCTCGGATGGATTTTGTACAGAGATTAATGTGAGAGAACAGCTTCTGTGTAAACCCAATATACTGAGGACTAATGCCCAACAGTCTTCCAGGTCTAGTTTGGCACGAGTGATTTTAGACGTATGGTGTGAAATAGGCTGCTGCAGTCGAAGAAGTGAAATCTTGTTTTATGGGAGAATTTGTGTCAGTCAATCTAGAAAATGAGTATCCGATGGCTTCAAAGAAAATATCCAATTTAAAATATATTTGACAGGGCAATAACATAAAATGCCATCATTATGTAATTTCCCTTTAACTTAACAATATGCCAATACATCTATTGTCATCTGTACCATATGTTCATGTTTTATTGTGAACGTTATGTCATCATCAAATCCAGAGCTTTTCATTGCTGTCGGTGAATAGTGGACGTTTTGATAATGACAAAAAAATGGTCTGATTTTACCAGTTGCTTGTGTCTGCCCTTTCTGTAACATTGGTTATTTTGCTTCTAGCTAGTCTGAAAATAACTCTTGCTTTTTTGAATGTTTTTGGTAACCTGGCAACAGTAGTCAAGTGGAGAAGTGTCTGCTGCTTTCCTTGCCAATGAATGCTCTTTTCCTCTGTCTGTCCTTTCCCATTCACTCTTAATGTACAGTATGTCTGATTGAGATGAAAACCTGATGATAAATCACGTGTTCCATTGAAAAAGAACATTATGTTCCTACTTCTTTATGAGTAGTTATTCTTACAGCTATTAGATTTGGGAGATTATAAGGATGACTTCTATATTTTGTGAATGTTCTTAGTTAATATGAAACATGTATGAAATGAGCGAAAGACACATTCATATTTGTGTTGTCACTTTACCCACTTACCTGTGGGTTGTTAATATGTTACAAGAATATCATTGGAAGAGGATAATCCTGTTTTGCCATCTTAATTGTTATTTATTAGACACTCTGTGACCTGTCTACACATCGACCCTATCATAAACTACAGGAAGTTTCGATGTGGCCTATGCAGACTACTGCACAGGAAATACTTTATTGTTGTTGATGGTGATATTTCAAAAAGGAATAGTGGAAATGGATACCAGCAAATTAAAGTTCAATTTGATTAAACTATCAAAAGTGGGGGCATGGAATGTCACCTCGCTGACGGGGAAAGCAGCGGAGTTGGTGCAGGAGGTGGAGCGTTAACAAATGGATATAGTTGGGCTCACCTCCACGCATAGCACTTGTTCTGGAACCAAACTCCGGAGAGGGCCTGGACTCTAGCGTTTCTGGAGTTACCCAGGTTGAGAGGCTCAGGGTGAAGGTGGGTATACTCACGAGCCCCTAGGCTGAGCGCCGCTGTGTTGGAGTTTTCCACGGGAAACAAGAGGGTCGCCTCTTGGAAGTCTCTGACTGTTGTTTGCACTTATGCAAAGAACAGCAGCTCAGAGTAATCTGCTTTGGAGGCTGCTGGACAGACCTAGTAAACCCAAACGTGTAGTGAAGGTGTACTATAAACATCAGGCCCCTGTCCGCGAGGTCTTAAAATTTCACCTCTGGTAGAATTTTTCTAGCATCCCGAATGGGCTATGTTCAAAGCCTCCATTGTGGAAGCGGCTGCCATGAGCTATGGTCAGAAGTTCACTGGTGCCTGCCGTTGTGCCAACCTGCCTAAGAACCCACTGGTTGGGCCCTTTTTGGCTCCTCTTCAGTGTCTTGTGGAGGTCGGGTACAGTACCTGTGGAGTGGAAGACTGGGTTGGTGGTTCCCATTTTATAAAAAAGGGGGACCGGAGACCCTGGCAAGTCTGTTGGGTCATGGGTGTTTGCCCATCCAGTCTACATGTGTTTTGTGGACTTGGAGTAGGCTTACGACGGTGTCCCTCGGGGAGACCTGTGGGTAGTACTGCAGGAAAATGGGATACCGGGGTCATGAGCCATCTGGTCCTTGTATAACCAAAGTGAGAGTTGTGTCTGTATACAAAATCAAGCACGTATCCAGTGTGTCTTGGCCTTTGCCAGGGTTGTGCCTTGTCTCTTGTTTGTGATTTTCATGGACAGGATTTATGGGCACAGCCAAGGAGTAGAGTGTGTCCAGTTTGGGGACCTCAGAATTGTGCCTGCGCTCATTGCAAATGATGTGCTTCTATTGGCTCTTTCCCACGCCTGTGAAGCGATCAGAGTCAGATCAGATGAGAGTCAGTACCTTCAAGTCTGAGGTCATGGTTCTGTCAGAACACGGTGGATTGCACCCTACAGGTTTGGAGTAAGTCACTGTCCCAAGCGAGGGAGTTCAAGTATCTCAGAGTCTTGTTCACGAGTGCGGGAAAAATGGAGCGTGAGTTGGACAGGCGGTTCAGTGCAGCATCAGCAGTGATAGGGGCATTGTACCGGACCGTTGTGGTGAAGAGGGCAATTTACAGGTCCATCTACATTCCACCCCTCAGCTATGGTCATGAGCTTTGAGTATTGACCGAAAGAATGAAATCCCGGATACAAGCATACATCTGGAGTGAACTCGGGGTAGAGCCACTACAGCTTTGCGCCAAAAGGAACCAGCTAAGGTGGTTCTGGTATCTGATCGAGATGCCTCTTGGACTCCTCTCTTTTTAGATGGTTTTTGGGTACATTCAACTGGTAATAGGCCCCGAGGTAGCCCCATAACAAGCTGAAGGGATTATATATCTCGTCTGGCCTGGGAACGCCTCGGGGTTCCCCAGGAAGAGCTGGATAGCATTGCTAGGGAGAAGGATGTCCAGTATACCCTCCTGAGCAAATAAAAAATGGATGGATGGATCAAATTATTTCACTTAAATATTGACATTCCTGAGCTTCCATAGCGTAGGCATACTGACTCAGCTTGTACTGATTATCATGCACACGTTTTGGTTTACAATGTTACATATATTAACATTAATAGGATGAATAACCGCAAAACACCAGCTTAGAATTGCAAGATGGTGATTTTTATAGCCCTTTCTGACGTATAGACAATCATCATATACAAGGATAATACAATTGCAGAGGACTTTTATTATAGATGATTAAAACATGAAACATTAGCATACAGGATGTAATTCTAATAATTAAATAAAAAAGAATGCTAATTATATATTTTCAAAAGATACTAGATTTGTCAATCCAAAATATATTTGTTTTTCTAGTACATTTGTACTATCTGCCCTCTTATATATCAACAATACATTGATAATTAAATGTGTAGGTGGTAACTGTGCACACGAATGTGAAAAAAAAGCTGTTAATGGTGACAATCAAAATCACGGGGGTGGCATTTGTTCTTCTAATTTATTTTTTCTGGATATTTTTCTCTTTTCTTATTGTGTTAACAAAACATTGGCTTATCAAATCATGCTAACAACGCATATCTGACGATGTACGTCACATTTTTAAAGGGCAGTCGAGAGAAAACAAAATGTACACCTGTGTCTGGAATGGTCTCTTCCACTATTCTGCAAGCCTCCCCTGAATGAGTCATCCAGCCAGCTCCTCATTGGATAAGACCATGCCATCCCAAGGGATTGCCTTGCAGAGGCAGAAAGGCCTTGCTTCCATTCACAGAAACATTGGTATGCCAGCCTGCTATTTCATTCACATAAAAGACTAAATATTGCATGCTTTTTGTCCTCTGCTCTTTTCCTCCTTTGTCTTTTTTGCCTCCTCTTTTGATTTGCGAGGGCCTGCCTTTTCTTCCCTGCTTCTGTGTTTGCCTCTTTTTTTTTCCTGAGGAGAGAAGGCAGACGTGCTGTTTTTTTTTTTTTTTTTTTTTTCTATATTTGCCAGGCAGGAAAGAGAGATGTTGGGAGGGACTGCAGTGCGAAATCTGCAGCAGAGTGAGAGCGGAAGCTGCTTATGAATGAGTGTCAGTCTTTCGGCTTTGCTAGATGCTCCTGAGGACATTTTACATGAATGGTGTCTGGCTGTGTGCTTTCCGCTACCGGGCAGACAAAGATGCTTCATTGCTGCTGGTTTTAAGGAGACTCGTGGGCCTTTTTTTCTGCTATCCTTTTGGTTGTTTCATTGATTCATCTGCCTGAGAAACATGTCGTTCGCACTGTGTTTTTTTTCAGTTGTGTCATTCATGTAATTCAACCTGGACCAATTGCTGGGTATTTTAGACAAGCTGTGAGATTGAATCTGCTTCCTTGTTGTGAAATGTTTTTAGTCCTTTGTTGCAAAAGACTGAATTAGTGCTTCACTTAGACACATGTTCTCAAAACAAATTTAATGGAAAAAATTTTTTATTCATTTTTGCATTAATGCCTGATTATTAATATTTTGGGCAGAAACAACACGTATTTTAAGAAGTCATGGGTTTTTGAAAGTACACAACTGAGGAGTGATGTCTGCCCATATTCTGCAGCTATTATAAATTAACACGGACATTATATTTATGATGTTGCGTATTTCCGGTCATGCTAACATTTTACTGTATTGTTGCTTTCAGTGACTTACTGTATAGATTTCTTTTACATTCATTTAGCAAAAATGAAATCTTTAGGAAACATTTAAATAGAGATTTTATTCTTGAAACAAAGACATCTGTATTTTTTTTGTTAAAAGATTCTGGCAGGATTGTGGCTATCAATTAAATGGATGCTAGTTTTCATTACTAATTTCATTTCTGTGATACGTTTATTGTGTGTATCATCCTTTTTATTTAAACTTTTATCAATTCATCAATTTAATTGCGTATAACATGAATTCAAGCTTATATTTCTCGATAATTACGTTACCAAGTTAATAAATCAAGCTCCCTCTCATTCTTAATTTCCTTTTTCTCAGAAAGACAAATGAGAAGGAAAGAATTAAAGAGAATAAATATCAGACTGGGGAATTTAAAAATTGATTGGTTCTAGTGTGCTGTAAGTGGGAGTTTTTTTTTTCTCCCTCCGACAGGAAGTGATTTACAGTGTTCAGCAAGCCTTTTGTTGAGAAGGTTTTCTCAGATCAGTGAGTCATGCTTTAGCTCTGAGCCGGCAGGCAGCAGTCAGTAGAGAGTATTTGCTCTTCCCTCGCAGTATCCGTGATCATCGACAACATAGACCTTTCTCTGTTCTTACTTTTTGGATTTTTGAGGCTAGAAATCATCAGCAGCAGCAGCATCACCACTGGAAACCAAACAAGCTGCACCACAACACTGGCAGCCTTTTAGAGACCTTTTTCCTCTCCATCCTCTTCCTCCTCTCCTTCAGTGCTGTGTTTCCATGGATTGTGTCTGTATATTTCTATCTGACGGATTGGATTGCAGCTCTGGATTTTACTGAGAGTAGATTGGACTTTGGCGACAGCAGCAGCAGCAGCAGCTCAACACAACCACCACTGTAACCTCAATAGAGAAAATTAAAGTCAGGTGGCCTGTGATTGCTAAAAGGCGTTTGCTGCCTGTACCGCTGCTGCTATGTTACAGGAGAGGGTAATCAGCACGGCTCAGCCACGTCTGCCAGCACACTTGTGAAAGAGGCAGGCTGTGCGTGTCGGTTGGTGGAGAGAGGGGAGAGAGCAAGAGAGAGAAGGGTATGCTTCACCGTACCAAATACAACCGCTTCAGGAATGAGTCAGTAACATCCGTCGATGAGCTTCTCCACGGCCTGTCCATGAACCCCAAGGTCTCGGCCACCCCCCAGTCTGCAGCCGAGACATCTTACACACCCCCGACTGAGGTCCAGCCCTCCTCCGCCACCACTGCTTCCAGCAACCCCACCAGCCACGGCTCTGACCACCTGGAAGATGGAGGCACCACCCTCTGTACCCTCATCAACAAGGTGTCCGGCCTGAAATTCAGCAACTCAGGCAGCCTGCTGGGCATCAAGGGTCTGCCCTCGGCTGTCAAGGACCTGGCTGTGTCTAAGCTGCAGGGGGGTGGGGGATCGGGCTCAGGCAGCTCCAGTGGCCCGAGTCCCAGTGCGGCGATGGCAGCAGCCTCTGGTGTGGGCGGCTCTCTGTGCAGCTCGGCCTCCCATTCGACCCCCTGCTCGCAGCTGGAGCCATCAGCCGTCAGCATGAGCAAGAAGAGCCGGCTGGACGAGCTCCCGCCCGGCGGAGAGGACTGGAATCCAGGTGGAGGTGGTGGACTGGTGATCAAACCCTCCAGAGGATGGCTCCACTCGACCGAGAAGATCTCTGGTCCAGGAGTGACATACATTGTGAAGGTTGGTAGTCTCATTTCCATTTTCTCTCCTTCTTTCCCATTCTCTCTTTTCTTTCAATGACTCAAGCTCAGCCACATGCAAGAGGAGGGTGGGGGGGGGGGGGGTAATAGTTTTAGGAGAGATGTTTTATTGGCACATAACGTGCCCTTGAGTGCGTGTATGTAGGTTGGCTACACCAGAAGGTGCAGTAGCAGCAACCAGAAAATAGACATTGAATAATTCAGGAAATACAGAGGGTTAACATTGGGCTGAAATAGAGGAAAAACCTGTGATGGCAAAACAAAAACGGTGATCATCAGTGTCATTTTGAGTGTGCTGTAAACATTTCAATTCCTACATTCCGTCTCATGTATGTGGACGCACAGCGTTATGCTTTTGTAACCATGGTGATGTGTTATTCTGTACATTGTGCGTCTCTATGAGCTCTCTGGCTGTTTTAGCTCGCACACAGTGAAATGGTGGAAATGGAGAAAAAAACAAACGCACAGTGCAAGTTTGTCTCGTTGCAGCCGTATTGTAATGTTAATGTTGTTCAGCCATCATACATAATTTAAAGCAGCACAAGTTTGCGCACAAGTAAGAGAGCTGTGAATGTCATCGTGCCAGCAGTGAGTCACTAGCATGAGGAGTGATGATGCTGAGCCCTGGCTCTTCAAGGTGTAAAGTGAATGAAGAAGCGCAAACAAACCATTTTCACTGAAACCATAACTTAGCAGTTAAGTGTGCATCTTTTTTATTGACGCAGCACATAAAATGTGGTTTTGTGGTGGCTGAATGATCATACTGGAGAGGACTGCCAGGTGACGTGTTATATTCCAAATCAAGTTACACAGCATGATTGCCATCATATGACACGTACAACTTGCCCCGAACAAAGCTGACAGTATCTGTGACCAGCGTGACATTCCATTAACTGCATTAAGGACGGCGGCGCTTATTTGTCCAGTCAATGCTGCTGAAAGCATCCACACTGAGAAGGGAAATGGGTCCGGTCGGTGCTCCCCCCCCTTCCCGCCACCCCACCCTCTGCTTTTCCTGTGGTTTGAGGTCCTGTGTGTATTGAGTTCAATGTGGTGTTATGCTCACAGCACTTTTAATTAGCGTCATGTGGTCACTCCTCGCGCATCATGCACCATTACTCTAAAGGGACATTGATTGACAGTGACACTTTTTTACTTTCGCTTTTTGCCCATGGTAACTATGTCTATATATAGAAAAGATAAACAAAACAATAACGCCCATCTTTTTTTTGCATTAGTTAGTACATTGTAATTATTTACTTCTCGTGTTTGTTCTTATTATGTGCATATTTTTCATTTTATTCAACATTACATTAACCTTTAGCTTAGTGGTATTTATGGGTAAGTGCGTTGTCCTTTTGACCCGACATATCCTGTCTAGACTGCACAGAACTGGACTGTATAATATAAGGTTTCTAATTCAACAACTGTTATGGACCATCTACACGTTTTGTTACATCTTTTCACCTGAGTGCAGCTAAATGATATGAGAGACACTTTTTCTATTTGGAAATAAACTAAATGTTTAAATTCATGAGCATAACAACAACACTCCAGTAGGCAACAACTCCAGCCGGTATGATATATGACTATGTTTCAGGTTGTTTGTTATAAAGTGTGTGTCTGTAGTTTTGCCGGTACATGTTCACCTGAAAGGATATAGAGGTTGTATTGTTACTTGGGATCAGTTATGGCCTCTTTAGAGCTGGCTTCCCATCGATGTTAATAATTAATTTGAAGTGCAGTTTTACTTTATGAACCATGTACTTGTTTGTTGTACAGCATGAGAGAAAAACATCTTCATGTTGTGCTCAGAATAGGTCTCTACCAATTTTAGAATTGTTAGATATATTTTTGTCCCTGCTGAATAGTGCACTTCAAATTCTGTGTTCTGAAAATAGAAAATGGCCCTTTTGTACAGGAAACATTTTAAGTTACTTGTTTTTCTCACCACAGTGTTTGTCATTGGATGATTGGATATTTGGTGTTCCAAAAAAACAGGATTACCAAGTTACCTTGTGGAGTTATATTGCAACCACACAAATCAAAGTGCTTTGTGTGGGACCGTTAGTCCTAACTATCACGTTCCTTCCTCATAAAACATCTGTAAAAGTGATTTTTGTTATAAAATAATTTTTAATCCAGCATTCTTTACATCCATGTTTGCTAGCAGCCTTCTTCTGTAAAAGTATCTTTTGTGCCTCACTGTCAACGACAGGCAACAGGAAGGTGTACACACTTTTGGGCATGTGTGTCGCCGTGCATGTGCACAAGATGCAACAAATCGGGGACTCTCTCAGAAAGACACTGTTCCATAGTGCTCCTCGTGGTCAAACACCATCAGGATTGGTCTCGTCAATTTTTTCCTTTCTGGAATTAGCGCCTGGTTTCTAGATATTAAGTTTTACGTTGTAGTGATTTTGTATGAAGTGAAGGAATGCAGGTATTTGGATTTCGTGAGTTTAGATTGGTAATGCAAACAAATCAGGCATATTTTCTTTCTGTACAACATTATGTGCTTGTTATGAATGTAATTTTTGACATTTTTTCTTTCCAGTACCTGGGTTGTATAGAAGTCCTTCGGTCGATGAGATCCCTGGATTTCACCACGAGATCACAAATCACTAGGTAAGGCCACACTTGCTGTTCTGACTTTTCACTTGCTTTTTTTATTTAAAGCAAATCCCAGCCATTAAATGCGGATTGTTATTGTGTGTACCCAAACATAACACACATAAGTCTGGTGCGTATTTGTTCACAATGAAGACTTAGTATAACTGTTAACTATCTAAACTGATTTATTGGAGGGTTTATTTGAATTTTAAAGTAGCAGCTGTTTTTAAAGATTTACTTAGAAACCACAAACATTCAGAAATTTTTTTTTTATACCAGGTCTGAAATATTAGATTATTGAACCAAAAACCAAATCATAAAACCCCAAATATACTAATACAAGATATTCTTTTAGGTGAAATCTGTTTTGAACCTTATAAGAATAGGAAATTACAGGTTTAATGATATATATGCTCCTACCTGGGTTTGTGTCTGTTTATAACTTGTGTACTTAAGCAGATGATTTTAGTGACTAAGAGACGACAGTGGCAACGAAAAGACCAACAGCAGAGAACAAACTTTATCAACTGTGCTATCAGTGTGAATTGGTCTGTGATCAAATGTTTTAGTGGTTAATAATTAATACATTTAGTATTAAAAACTATTTACTATTAAAACGCTTTGTTTTTCAAGGAAATCACTGCTCTCTGACATGCCTTCGCATATATAAACTTATAATTACAAGCAGAACATTAGTTCTCAGTATTAATAACGTTCAATCTGCAATAATAATAAAAAAAACATTTTTAAAACGGACAGGACTTTGATATTTTATGTATTTGGAGTACATCTAGGTTGCCTGTTATCACAATTTGTTTGCACAGAATTTTCTGTGACTCCATGTGTATCTTTGAAATCATTGACCAATGTGCAGCCAGGCACAGGCCAACAGTGAATCGGTTTGTGTCATGTCCACTTTTATGCTTGACTTCCTGAAGTCAGTCCAGACTAACGCTAGCTTGCAAAGCCACACAGCAGCAGCCTCTCTCTCTCTCTCTCTCTCTCTCTCTCTCTCTCTCCCTTACTGTGTGTATGTGCGTTTCTGTTTGCCTCTAATAAAGAAAGAGATGGACAAACGGAGAGAAAATGCTATGTCTCAAGATATTGCTATTATTAGATTTCGCTATTCTGAAAGAGCCTACTGCTGTGTGAGCTTTATCCGTGTAGCAAGGATGCAGAAATGAACGTTTCGGTCATGAAACCAAATTCACTTCTTCTCAGGGGGGAATTAGATTTTTCTGCATCAAAGCAGCTCTATCTTTAGCCACCATTTAATCCATATATTGTTGTCTTTTACATAAAAATGATGGCACGGATAAAACGGTTCACTTCACATCTGAAAGACCGTTTTAGATTTCACTCTGTAATGTGCAGCTGTATGCCAGATACAGCTGCATGGTTCCGAGAGGTGCTGTGCATTTGTAATATTCCCTATAGCACCATATAAAACACTCTACACTGGATATTGAATCTTGACTCAGGCCTCTTGTGGCCAAGGTGATTTCATTTTATGTGCAACAACCTGTAGAGTTCAGGCTCGCTGTAAATACAGTTATTTTTCTTTTAGGTAAATGTATTAATCTATTGTTTTTGAGTTTTTTTTTCCATTTATCAATGGACAACTCCATCTTCTCATGTTAATAGACAATAAATACAAAATACAAACAGATTGCAGCAACAGCTAATTATTCAATATGTTCATAAATATAGCAATGACCATATCAAATAACAGAACAAGACCGTGCATGTCAAGCCCAAAACATATATGAACTATGCATTTACTTTACATTCATCCAATATTTTATTTCCAAAGGATTCCCGAACAGTCGAGTAACTCACAAACCAGACTAATAATAGCCATAATAATAAGTGATATTATCATAAATAATACAAAGAATTGAATTATTCGATTATCACACAACAATAAGAAACCACTGAAAGAAAAGCCGCACCATCTCATGTACCCTTAAATATCTGCTAAATCTGCTAAAATCAGCTTTACTTTGTGATGATTAGTTAACTTTGGCATGCTCAACATGGTGTAACTGCTGATCAGTATGTAGCATTGTCACTGTTGGCATGATGACATTTGGCTGAGAGTTCTGCTGTGCTTATGGACAGCCTCGTAGAGCAACTAGCATGGCTGTACGCCTTTCCTTCCAAGATAACAAAAGAAAAATGTTCTTGGCAAAGTACATAATCATGAAATCTAAAAAAAAAGCCAAAATAACAGTGATTCTGGGGCTGTCTATGGTCACCATCTTGGCTTCACCCTCCTCTCGCCCTCCCTCTAGGGAAGCCATCAGCCTGGTGTGTGAGGCTGTTCCAGGGACCAAAGGAGCTCTGCGGAAGAGAAAGGTACATGGATGGACAGGGAGGGAGGGAGGGTGGGTGATGGCGTGAGCGAGCACGGGAGTTAAGCGATGCCCACACTGAGAGAGCTGGGAAAATGAATGTTAGTGAAAGGTACAGTAGAGAGAAAAAGAGGAAACAGCATTAGATATTCATTTACCCTTCCACGATCTATATATAGCATCGCCTCTGTAAGTTTCTCTCATCCTTCCTTCATGTAAAAAGAGAGGGAAAACAGAGACAGATGGAGAGAGGAAGAAATTATGAGAGAGAGAGAGAGAGATTGTACTTAGAGGAGAGAGATCAAGAGGTATGGGACTGCATGTGCGTGGGCGTAGCTCCAACCCACGATGCATAGCACACCGCGCACAGTGCTTAGTGACTCATGTAGTGCACAATATCTGTGATCAGGAGGCTGAGCGTGTGTGTGTATGTGTGCTTGTGTGCGTTTGTGTGCGAGCGCCTGTCTTCCGTGTGCATGTGCATGGTGTGTGTGTGTCCACAGTGTGTGAGGAGACTGTCTTAATGTGGGGTGTGAAATGAAGCATTACTCTGCTCTCTAGAGCTTGTTCAAATGTCAGGGAATAACAAAATCCGAACTGACTAGTTTCTCCCTCCGAATAGATTTAAGATATAAGATAATAATATAACAAATGCACTATGGTGACATCAGCTTCATACTGAGCATTTTTAATGGGGGTTGGCTAATTTTATCTGGCCTCTTTGGCTTGTCTCTTCTTTAAAATCACAACTCACAACAGTATTAACTACCCAAAACTATTATTAGATGACATTTGCATGGCCCAAACTGTAATCGATAAAAATATTCAACTGTAATGTTTTCTCTGTATACATTTGCTAGTGGTGAAATGGCAATTAAAATAGTTTGCCATTTTCAAGTTATAGCTGTTAGCAGGTTAGCTTAGCATAAAGCTTGGAATCGGGGGGGGGGGGCAAGCATGGCTCCGTCTAAAGGTAACAAAATCTAAAGCTGAACAATTAGCATGTTACATCTCATTTATTTAATTTGTACAAAATAAGTGAAACAGGATTTACAGGAGGTTATAATGTGCCAGACTGCTTTGTTGTTGGAGGCCAGTCGAGACCCCAGAAAGTCACTTTGCCCGGGCAGGAAATAGTTTGAAGATACAACTTGACTTGATTACTGAGCTTTAGAGGTGCTGGTAGTTGGCTATTGTTACATTTGGACAGTGCTAGCTGTTTTCAGGTCTGCCTGCTAACCAGCTGCTGGCTGTAGCTTCATATTCACACACACAGTGATATTGATCTTAACTCTCAGCAAGAATACAAACAATACATTTTTGAATTATTCCATTTTGATAGACTGTTTAATTGGTAAAGAAGTGACTTTGTTGCCGTAATTTGTTTTGTTTGTGTCTTCCTCTGCTCCTCTCAGCCACCGTCAAAAGCTCTGTCCAGTATCTTAGGGAAGAGCAACCTGCAGTTTGCCGGCATGTCCATCAACCTAAATATCTCCACCAGTAGCCTCAACCTGATGACCCCCGACTGCAAACAGGTCAGTGTGCAACCTTCGTAAACAATTATAGGGTGTGTGTGTGTGTGTGTGAGCTACAGTGGGTTAAAAATAAGATGCCTAAGAAAGATCCACTGAAGAAGGCCATGGGATAAGGTTTAGAACATTTACCACACATACATGTATGTGTCTCCAAGGTCAAGATTAGAGTGAATCTCCAAAGCTAATAAAAAATAAAAAAGAGGACATTTGTTTCTAAATTTAGATCCATGAGATGGCGAATGTATTTTTAGCTGTTGCTAGAGTGACAAGATTTTTTTTTTAAAATATAATTAAGGATGTCTGTTCAAGGAGGTTTATGTAATAGAAGAAAGGTTAGAGAAGGAAGAAGAGCACCAGCACATGACCTCTCCAGATGTTGCTAGAATAACCAGAGGAGGTTGGCAACCTGACTTTCCCTGTCATTTTTTTATGTTGTTACTTATAGGGGTAATGAAATAGTTTTCTATGTGGTGGGGGTGGTCAGTGGTCACAGTGTGCTTTGCCGTCTACCCCTATGTCTTTCTTGATACTGCCAGCAGATGGTGCCAAATTAGAAAATAATAAATATAATTAATAACTCTACACATAGTACATCAAACACGACAGAATAACATTTCTGATATCTTGAGTATCAGTTCCTCCGTCCCTGTTCGTTATCTCAGAGTTGTTGCTGCATTAAAATTAAACAAGTACCGACCTTCTCATCTAACTCTTGAATACTTCCAATATGGCTGCTTCACAGTGCCTTAGATACCACGCAGTTATCTCTCATTTAATTAGTGGGGAAAGGCAAAGAAATGAACCATATTCTGACATAGATTTTAAACTATGTGTGTAGAATGCATGCATGTGCCTTTGTGTGTATAAAGAGGCATTTGTAAACCCATTTCTGCTGCATAAATGTGTTCTTGACAGATCATAGCCAACCATCACATGCAGTCCATCTCCTTTGCATCAGGTGGAGACCCTGTAAGTATCTCAATGGCCTGTGTCATATTAACTTTGTCTTGTGGTAACTAAATACTACTTCATCACAAAAAGATTTGATAACCAGAAACCAGAAGATAAAAGTTGTGGTATTTTCTTTTATTTATTTTTTAGGACACAACAGATTTTGTTGCCTATGTAGCAAAGGACCCCGTTAACAGACGAGGTAGGCGTTCATTCCTTTTGATACTCCGTATAGAGCGTGTCACACGCAACATGCTCATTAAAATGTGTTGCTCCCGCCCTCGTCAGCATGTCACATCCTGGAGTGCTCTGACGGACTGGCCCAGGACGTCATCAGCACCATTGGCCAGGCCTTTGACCTTCGCTTCCAGCAGTACCTGCAGTGTCCGTCAGGCAAACTGTCCTCCTCACATGACAGGTGAGAGGTTCATGACACACTCGCACACATGTACAGCTTCACTAACACACACACTCGCACACATTTGCAGCTTTGAGTTTCATGATCAAACCATGTTTTTCCCCAGGGTATTAAACATGGAGGAGTTACCATGGACAGAGGAAGAGGAGGAGTCAGCAGAACATCCTTACTATAACAACATCCCTGGCAAGATGCCACCCCCTGGAGGCTTCATAGACACCCGGCTGACGAATCAGAATGCGGCGCCGGATGGGTGCCAGGTACAACTCAGTTCATGTGGATTAATCTCAGGAACTTGAGCAGAGTAACTTCAGTTTTCATGTGGATGGATCTCAATCTCAACAACAATTAATGTTGAGATATCAATATCGTGGTCTCCTAACTGATACCTGTGTGTCTGTGTGTCATCAGATGGGCCCATGTTCAGTAGATCAGACGTATTACCAAGGGCGGCACTGTGGAGAAAACTGGGGAGATGAAAGAAAGTCTATATTCATACAACAGGGTAAGAAAATCCAAGCTTTCCCACTACTTCAATATATGGGATATGTCTTTTGTTTCTTGCAACTTTGCAGAATGTCATCAACTCTGATTGTTTCTCCAAATGTCTACCGTAGGATCATTTGATATAAACAGTCTGCCCGAGACCAAAGGTCAGGCACAAAAAACAGGAGAGATGCCCGCGTATGTGAACACTCAGCAGATTGACGCCCAGGTGCTCGCGGCGCTCCAGGCGGAGGCGGAACATGTGACAAAGGGTATGGCAGCTGCGGCCAAAGAGAGCCCGCAGAAGGACCTGTTTGACATGAGTAAGTCCTGGTTTCTGTTGGTCATGTGATTTGAATGGCGGATTCGTTAAGATCTGTGCCGTGCTTTCAGAGTAACATTGTAATGACTTTTCTAACCAGAGTTCTTAATGATAGAGGACTCTCGGCCTATTGTTTCTCAGTGACGTCGGTGTGGCATTAATAACACCACATCAGCACGGAGACAATAGGAGGAGTGTTAATGTGCACAGCTATATTCTTTCCTCCTTTCAACTTTCACCTTGCCTTTGCTATTATTATACATAAAAGGCCCGTTTCATAAAGTTAGGTGTCACTATGTATGAAGAATTCATGACAAATTACACGCGAGCAGTGAACTATTCGAAACCGTTCTTGTATGAAGTTTGAGTGCAGGTGTTACCATCCACCTACTGTAGTTCTTTGACCGTGAACAGTCACATTTTATTTTGTTCCTCCACTAACCAACTCCAGCACTTTTATGACAGAAAGTCATAATTTATTGATATTGGATACAGATTATTGCACAATACAATGTGGAAAAATCCAGTTCTTTGACTTCTAAAGTTATTGAATGAGTAATGAATTTCAGTACTATTTATAAGATTATTAAATAGTTATATTCAATATAGTTTTGGAGAAGAGAAAGAGAAACCCAATGTACTTTTAGTAAAGCACAAGTAGAAGTATATTTACATATTCAGCACATCATCATCTTCTGCTCTGTTTTTGATAAATCCCTCCTTCTTGAGCTGCTTTGCATTTCACGGTGTTCTTTCTTTCGGTTATGTTTCTTTATACAATGTGTGTTCAAGCAACACCACAGTGCTTTTGCTTGCTTTATTCCATCTGGCCTAAACCGAAGAAATAGAATATTTATTTAATGTGATGCAATATCCTTGAAATGCGATGTTTGTCCAGGATATGAAACCGTTTACCAACGAGATGTCAGTTAGTGTAGAAAGACAGTTTTGATAAGGAAAGCAAAGGTCAGGATTCTTTTCAGTGTCACCATAATTCAAATGCATATGTTTATCCATAAAAAAAAAATAAATAAAAACCTGCATTGTTTACATCCAGTGAGAAATGAAGACACTGTTCTTAAGTTTAAGCACTGATGACTTTGTGTTTCAGACACATGTTTAGGTTCTCAACTATTAGAGTAGCTGATATCATGGATGAGCATAGTTTACAAATCTAGACAGCTGAGTGATGTCAAGGTAAAACTTTCGCAAGCGATATCTGTCCTCTGTTAATTCATCGTTGTGGCACTGCCCCTCGCCTCTACCAGAGCCCTTCGAGGATGCCATTCAGTCCCAGTCCCATCCGTCGTCCCAGGGGCCAGCCCAGTGCCAGGTGGTCTCCGGTCTCCACAAGGCAGCATCCGTGGACAACTCGAGCCCTCTTCTCGTGCGCTCGGTGGCCTTCCGGGCGCAGGAGGAGCTGGAGGGCCAGACGTGGTACCATGGCAAAATGAGCCGCCGGGACGCTGAACAGCTGCTGAAAGAAGACGGGGACTTCCTGGTTCGTAAGAGCACGACCAACCCAGGGTCCTATGTACTGACGGGCATGCACAATGGACTCACCAAACACCTGCTGCTGGTGGACCCTGAGGGCACGGTAAGACGGCGGTTAAAGGACATGTAGAGTGTTTCAGGGAGATAACTATAGAAGGAGAGAAAGAAAAACTCAACTTAAATGAAACTCCTTATTAGGCCACAACTGACATTTAACATCTCTGTCTCTTTTTCAAAGGTACGGACAAAAGATCATATATTTGACAGCATTAGCCATCTTATTGGCCATCATCGGGACAACAATCTGCCGATTGTGTCAGCTGGGACTGAACTGTGTCTCCTACAGCCTGTTGGAAGGAAACAATGATGCCTGCAATGCCTGGTGGGGAATGGGAAGCTCTGAACAGTCTCTCCTACCACTCTGAAACTTGAAGGGGAAACATGAAGAGGAGATGCTTGAAGGCTCCATGCGCTGACAGTGTTGTTGGGGAAATTGGCCCGTGGTTATTTACTGGAAGCACTGGAAGACGCAAGATTTGTTGAAGATGAAAAAACAAATATTTATAGAACTGTTATTATTTTGTTGTGATGACTGAAATGCTATATTTTTGAGAAGACATAGGTGCATTTGGACATAATATCTTGATTTGGTGTTTTAAAAGATTTAAAAAAAAAAGACAATTGTTCTTGTAGTTTAGATGAAGTGCAAATCAAACCTCAAAGAGGTGTTAACAAGAGTATTTTAGAATAAAAATCTGAAATTTTAGTTTTGTCTGTCAAGCACAACCACATTTCTACAGAAGCCGTTGGCTAACAGGTCGAGGAAACGAAAACAAATGCTGTTTATAATGAATTACTTGAGGAAGAATTTCCTTTAATCTCACCAATAGCGTGACGGCTCACTCTAATAGTCACTATATGAAATCTGCTTTTATTGGGGAAACTGAATGTGTTTTGCTTTGCAGTAGTCACAAAGTGTTGGGGTACAAACGGACATCCTTCATAGTGCTATCAATGGCTTTAAAGAAACTTTTTTTTATGAAGTATTTTCTCGTGTCACTGCAGTCGCATGACTTAAAATCAACTGTTCTTGTGGACATTGTTCGTAGACCTTGATACCCTTTATTTGGAAGAGGCGCTTGTGTATGCTGACACTGTAAAAATAGTTATGCTTTTAAACCAGTGATTATTTCTGAGTTGGGTTTCTCTGGTGTGTAGTAAATTATTAGTTTTTTAATTATTAGTCATGCAAATGGATATTCTCACATTCTTAATTAGCACTTTCTGCTTTTTTTTTTTTTTTTTAAGTGAACTTTTAAAAGTTATTATTTGAATGACCACAAATTAATAGCACAATCAGAAAGTCGGATCATCTGCGTCAGTTGTACCGAGATGAATTATCAATGTGTTGAGATGTAATTAACACTTTTTACTGAAGAGGCTGAATTAGACAAACACAGTGTGCACTCCATATACAGAATTAAATGTTTAATATTGGATCACCTTCACTTATTGATGTTAAGCAAACAGATTTTTTTTTCTCAGTGTGCTGATGTCTTACGGCAAGACTACTGTACTGCCACTAGATGTCACCACAGAAATACTTGTTTACCCCGTCCCACTCACTTCAATCACCTTGTGTTTTTACTTATTAGCAGCAAAAGATGCTGTCTTTGTATCACTTTAAGTATAGTACACAGGGAAATACGTTATTGCCTAACAGGTCAGAGTTCATTTGCATTTTGCAGTCCACTGTACACAATCATTCCTCAGAACAGTTTACTGTAATTAGTGTTCTACATTGTTTTTGTAGAGTGGGAATCAAACATTTGAAATGGCTAATAGAAATAGTACACAGATTTTTAAAATGCTCACATCCTTACTGTTGTCAGTTCTCTGATGGATACCAAATGAATGGGGCATTGTATTTGATATGCACTGGACCACTTCAATTGAACCAAAATCAGCATGTGTTCAATGAGTTTGACAAGACAGATGCAATGTAATATAACATGCCTGTATTTTGCTGCAAGAGGGAGTGTACAGTACATGCATCTCACGACAACACATGTTTTAGCAAAGAGCCGTATTTGGGATTGTTCTGAAAACATCCACCACCAGCTTAATTTTGGTTTAAGCCGATAAGACTCTCCTTGATTCCTTGTGTCCTTCTGAGCAGAGCGCACTAGAGGAAGAACATATTGGATTCCTTTTTTAGAGGAAGGTGTGAAGAAAAGGGCACAAAGAATCATTGATTTCACTTTTGTTGACCGTAATCCACCATTAACTTTTAGTCTAATTCTTTGTGACATAATTTCATCAAATCTAATATCTTGGGAGAAGAAATGATGTGCTAAATACAAAAATAAAAACGGCACTAATATCAAGAATTCTTTTGAGATTAGTATTTATTTCTGACGGGCAAATTTGTAGAATCACCTGGGCAAAATGTGCAAAGTTTTGAACAAAGGAATATATATATGAATATATATATATATATATATATTATAATAATAATAATAATAATATAATATATATCATATATAAGCAGGAACAACTCCATACTTGAATCTCTCTGATAATGTGATGATTTGCTGTGTGGCATAAAGAAATTATACAACCAAACATGCTGGGACACAAAAAGAACATGGCTTCTTTCTAGATTTCTGTTGATGAAAATGTGCCTTTTATTTGTACAAATGGTGTTTTTATTTCTCTTTTCTCTCTCTTTAAAGTGCAATAGCTGATCTTCAATGGGGCATGCCTGTTCACTAGAGGTTGTGTTTTGCCCTGCTGTGTGTTGCTGCTTGAGACTACCGTTTTCTCTCTCTATCTGTCTCTTTCTCTCCCTCCCTCCCTCCCTCCCTCCCTCTCTATTATATATTATAAATGTATCATTTCCAGATTCTAAATATAAATCTTTGTCGGAGGGAATCACAAAGAAACTCACTATTTTGGAACAGGTATAGTTAAAAAAAAAAAAAAAAAAAAAAGGAAATAAAAACAAAAAAGTCCAAATGATGTTTACAGATTTAATCTTTTGGTTGTATGGGTTTATCATTATTCTGTGTGACTGTTGGCAATAAAACCGTGAATGTGTAGAATCTCTGTTGCATCTGCTGTAATAATCAACAACATATTTCAGTTTCTGGAAGATGCAGTTTAAGCCACAGTGGTTAATCCAAGTTATTAAAAAAAATGTTTTCTCACCAATTTATCGAGATATTTTGCCATACAGATAGCTTTTAACAATGGAATGTTTTTGGTATTGAAAGAATAGAAAACAAGATATAAACTATTATTCTGGATGATCCACAGAACACACTTTTCTTTTCAGGAACAGTAGTTCCTGTGAAAACTGTTCACAGTCAGGCCTTTGGATTATTAACATGGATGCTGTGTCTGGAAAGAGATGTTGGTGTTGAATACCTTTAAGTTATTTTACAAAGCTGTGAGCAACACAAACAACAATCCATTCACCTCCATTATATTGTGGTGGCTGCAGAAATCCCAAAAGCGGGTAACTCTAAACCTAGACGTAAACAAAACGACCTGCTTGGCCGGATACCACTAAGTGAGAAAATAACACACATTTGTTCGTAATTTGCGTGAATCAACCTAGACGTTATTTTCCTCAAAGGAACAAGGAAGACAGTGCACATAACAAGGACAGAACTGCACTACCGGAAACACCAGGTTTATTGTGTCAAAGCTAATACTTTTGTATCACATAGATAGCTGCATGTACAGTAGTGAACTACTTCCATTTCACACGCTGCATTCACACATGCCTCTTCCTTCAGTTTACCGGCTTCATGCTTTTAAAGTTGATCGTGTTGACTTCTGGAATAATCTGATAAAACACAGACGCTCACAACGACTTCATTTTGGTACTAAAATGAGGATTGAAGAGATTCTGTACTTATCATGCAGCCTGTTATAAAAAATATCTAGTCAGCATTAAGGATATTAACTACCATTGTTAACCAGCAGATGGAGCCCCGGTATCACTTTAAAGCTACTGATGTTGAATAAACAGCATCCATTCATTATTTGTAGTGATAACAGATGTTCTTTCTTTATGAACAAGATGCTGCTGATATAATGAAAAGAGTAGCACGTTTGACTCTCCAGCATTTTACCTCCTTTACATCACATATACAATTTATAATGCCATTACTTCTGAGTAAATACAAAATTACAGAATAGACTGCATAGAATAATAAATAACTTCCATTGTTTGTCATTACAGTAAATTTTGTCTACATTCTTCATTACATTATTTCGCAGAACTATAATTGCACTTTAATTCATGGCAGGTGATTTTTCTATTTATTTTTTTTGTCTTGGATTGCCACATCTGTAACCACAGAGGTATAGTTACAGATGTGTTGAAGGTTAAGAGTACCATTCATTCGCAAATCGTCATTGTCCTGTGAAAACCTCATACCTCCAAAATGCCCACTATGCATGACAAAAGAAAAAACCTTTTCAGCCGTGTGACGCTGCATTTCTTTTATAATACAACACTGTTTTAGACGGTTTAGCTTCTCAACCAATAAAGAGTTTATCCTTCAGGTAACTGTAAAACTGACCAAATTTGGAGGTACGTGCTTCTCACTGGACGGTGATGAAATATGACCTGTACTTCACAAAGAGGTGGTATTGATTGTGCTCGTCGAACATATTGGCCTAACGCATTGATCCGTCCAATGCCAAACTTTGGATGATGCAGATATATCACTAACAAGCACAAAGGAGAAACCACTGCCCTGCAGTCTAAGAAATCCTTCATTCTCAAATCGATCACAACTCAAATTCCCTTTTGTCCCCAGTTAACTGCACAAGCCCACGAGCTCACACGTTGGGACAACCCTCAACTTCCAACTGTTCGTGTCATGTTCCCTTTGTTCAGTCTTTCCCGTCACTCTCAATGACGGCATGAGACGCACCTCCTGTCACCACTGACACCTCCGTCTCCCGTCCCTTCTCCGGCTCCGCCCGCCTGACGCTCTGCTGGTTCTGGTTGGGGTTGTTCTGGCTGCTCCACGACTTGCTCCTGCTGCGGCTGGGCTCCAGAGACTGCCTGTTCCCGCTGCCGGTCGTGGAGGCCTTCCCCCTGTAGCAAACGCCACACACCAGGCCCAGGAAGGCCCGTCTCATCTCGCGGCTGGCCAGGGTGTAAATGACCGGGTTCATGGCCGAGTTGAGCACGGCCAGGCCGATGAACCAGTCGGCCTTGTAGAGGATGGGGCAACGCTGCTCACAAGCCACGTCCACCAGGAGCAGGATGAAGATGGGCGTCCAGCAGGCGATGAAGACCCCGACTACGATGATGACGGTGCGCAGCAGGGACATTGCATGCTCAGAGTTCCTGTTCTTGCTCACTTTTTGGCTGCTGGACTTAACCAGGATGTAGATGCGGGCATAGAGGACCGACATGGCTAAGAGCAAAAGCATGAACACTGTGATACAAAAAGCCACATATTTCTTGGTGTAGAGAGGGAGAACCGTGGAGCAATCGGGGAGGTTGTCCAGGCAGTTCCAGCCGAGAATAGGCAAAGCCCCAAGAGTTATGGCGATCAGCCAGCAGGTCCCTATCAGCAGAAACACCCTGTAGTTCTTATTGGCGTCATAAGGCCTCATTTTGATCATAGTCAGGTGTCGCTCTATGGCAATAGCCAGGAGGCTGAAAATAGAGGCGCCCAGTGCTACAAACATGCTTCCCTCTCTGGCGAACCAGAGAGCGGGGGAGAGCTGCAGGGTCTTCTCTCCTGACAGGAGCAGGTTGACCAGGTAAGCGACTCCAGCCAGCATGTCGCACAGCGCCAGGTTGCCGATGAAGAAGTACATGCGGTTGTGGAACCTGTGGTTTCTCCATATGGCCACCAGCACGGTGAGGTTCTCCAGGACGATGAAGCTGCATATGACGAGGAACACGATGGTTTTGGTGTCCAGGGCGCCGGGGCTTGTGCCGGTGGTCGGCCGGTGGTCCAGCTTCCCCGTGTAGTTGTAGTGGAGGTATATCTGAGGGTTGATCATCTTCAAAGCGCCGGCTGCTGACACTGGATGTCAGAAGTGAGCAAGGAGTCCAGTGTCAGCAGATCCACCGTGTTCAGCTGCGGTGGGAGACGTGGAGGAATGTGGGCGTTATTACAGAAAGCAGCCACGTTTATAGTTCAATTTATTATATTTGTCCAACAATACAGAAATGTATGGTTTTATCTGATAGATTTTAACACTATAATCTAGTTTTCTTCATTCTCATGGAAACAAGGGAAGCAAATGCCTGCAAGAAACTTTTTCAAACATGCAGTCTAAACCTTAAAATACACCGTGATGCTGTTTGTTTATTTACATAGGAATCTTGGACCATTGCCCGAACTACCAGGGACTCATTTAAAAATACAAAGTCATCCTATATCTCGGCTTTTTAGACATTCATTTAGCTTCATTTTTTTTTTATTAAAGTCATACACTGCAGACATCATGGATTTCACTTTAAACCGTTCAGCTAATTAGTTTTTTTTTTTTTTTGTTTTTGGTGCGAAATAGTCTTCCCAGCTGACCGCCTTAACTCAACTTACCGTGGGATGCTCGCAGTCAGGGTCTAGTTGAGAGTGAAACGCGCACTGGAAGACATACATTTCATTGCTGAGTTGTCGATTGTCCGCGCGACCCAGATTTGATGTTGAACTTTAATTCCTTCTGCCTCGGCTCAGTGGAAGAGAGCAGCTCCTCATCTTTCACTGATCTCTAAACTCCGGAGCCGTTGTCGACGGTTGGCTGGAAGTCACTCCCCTCCTTCTCCCTCCTTCAACCCGGGCAGGCAGAGCAGGGGCGGGTGTGGGGTCAGTTCATGAAGCAGAGCCAGGAGCTAGAACTTATATATACAGTCTATGGTGGAAACTCAAGACGTTTTTAAGTTATGTTGCACTAATATTGTCCCAGACATGTAGGATAAAAGTACAATATATATAATACGTTTCAGAGTCCTTAAGGTAGAATTTCCATATTTATTTAATTCGAGTTTTGCTGAAATATATGTATTTTTTTGTATGTTTGGTGGACATTAGAAACACATATTGTTATCATTTGAGTTTGTGAATGCGAAGGTTTAAGGTAGCTTAATTGCCTGCTTGATTGTTTGATTCATTTTAAATATTTAGCTATCTTATACAAGCAAAATAGTTAGATCTAAAATTCTATCCCACTAGCTATCTGACTAGATATAGAGAAAGATAGAAAGATGGAGAATACACAGATACAGTAGATTAATTGATCAACACTTTTTAGAACAACTACTGGACTTGAATAAAAAACAAACAGAGAATATAGACTTAATTTAAAGCCCATACTCTCTATTGATAAGTGCACAGTAATATAATATGTTCAGCAATGCAACAAAAGCCTCGTCCCCATAGATTTACTTACACACCATCAATTCAGCTTACTTTCACCTAGCCTAGTCAGTAGAAATTCATTTTCTTTTTTTCCTGCTGTGTTGTTTTCTGGACACGCAAAAAGTGAAAGAGCAAGGATACAATAAACTGTACGAGTTTAGGTTGCGATGACTGCAGCCCATCCTTTGTTCTGGTCCTTCTCTTGTGACCTCATATCCAGGAAGGATGGGCAGGGCTTGCAGCAAGGAGAGGGACTCATAGAGTCTGAGAGGCAGCAAGACAGATGATGACTCTCTCAAATAGATGTGACGGGGTGGAATCTACACTGCAGAGATTTTTAAGAAAAGCTCAACATAAAAATGCCCAAAACGTGACTACAACAATAAACCTTATTTTAAAACTTGAGCAGTCATGAGCACTGTGCCCTGTATTTGTGCACTATGCCTCAAACGCTAAGAATCTTACTGCTTCACTTTAAACAGTGCCACACATTTAACTGCTTCCACTTTTCCCAAAACCAAGCACATATTGTACTGTGTCGCAGACCAACTCATTAAAGATAGATCTCTTCCAGTGTCTGTGGTTATTAACCCAGAGGAATGTTTTGTGTGGTAGAATAAACAGCTGTGGTCTGGCATTGGTCCATTAGCATTGTTACAGTCGCAATTCTCAGTCATTTCCTGGAAGTTGCACTGTGCCAGCAGCAATGGGAAAATCTCAGGAAAATAAAGCCAAATAGCTACTCTGGACCCGCAGCAAATCTGGGACCAATCACAGAGTGGGTCGACGTAAAGGCAGCTGGATTAACAGACCGGCAACATGGTTGGAAAAACCTTGGTTTTTTTTCGGCAAAACTACAGGGATGTGGGGCTCGCATCTGCATTTACATAAACTTTGAGCCAAATATGAAACCATCAGCAAGTCCAACCCCATAATATGTGGTTAGAGTGAGTCTATGTCTATGTGTATTCATAGACTACTGAAGAGGAGCATGGGTGGAGGGTTTTCACTTTTGCAGGACCACCCTCACTACTTTATAAGCAACCACTTCTTTGGTTTAAGTGACGCTGAATTTTCCTGTCATCTTTGTCAGCAGGACAGTAATTAAAGCTGTCTGCCATTATCCAGCATCGGGTGCTGTACTTCAGTGCTGTAAATCAGCAATGCACCGTACGTGTGATTTCCTGCTATTATAATGCTATATTATTTAAGTATAAACCTACAAGCTGCAACCCCTCATTTGAAAGTATACTGTACAATAAAACTGTTTAGCCAGCTGGTAAAGCCATTCCTCAGGGAAAGTTTCCACTGCTCAGCTACAGCCTGCCCTGGACCTTAGAACCGTTTCTGTGTGACATTGTCAGTGGTTGGAAGAAGTATTCACATGCTCTATTCAATAAAAGTAGCAATCAAACAGAACTTTTATCAGCAAAATGTACTTAAAGAGCTAATTATGCAGCAGAATGTCCACTGTCAATAGTATATTATTATATATTACAATATCTTATTGTTGGTATTCATATATTAACATATAATCAGCAGTTTAATGTTGCAGCTGGGCAAAGTTGAGCTACTTTATACACTTGGATATTTGTCTGAAATGTATTCAGTAGAAGCATGAAGTAGCATGCAATGAAAATACTTAATTAAAGCATAAATACCTGAGTGAATGTACTTGTGACTTTGCATCGCTGGACATTGTTTGCTGTTGACTAAAATAAAATACAACAGAATATGAATATGAGCTATTTAACATATATATATATTTTTAACTTAATGTGCATGATGTGCTTGCTGTCTGTAGATATAAAGCATTTAACTAAGTTCCCTTGACTCAGGAGATGAGCATATCAGAATATTCATTATTAATCATAACGCAATATAAAAGCAGTGCTTACAAAAAGTATTCTAACAACATTCATAATTGATTATAGTGCAGTTTATAACACTAGTGGCATAATAGCCTCTCATCCAAAGCAGATAACCTGTGGTTAAATGAGAATTCCCGGATAGAATATAAAGATAAGGACCTTTGTGTAAGCACATTACTAAATGTTGGCCGGCATCACTGTAGCCACTACTTTGCCAGCGCTTGCCTTGTTCGAGCTTCCGACCCTTCAAAGGAGTGCAAGAGCTGGGGTCAAAGCCGTGGGCAGTGGGCACATCCATGTGCAATTACATGAAAACCCTGCCTTTAATTTCACCCTCGCCATTTTGAGGCAAAACACACCCCGAGAGCCTGGGCTACAAATCTGAGGCGGACAGTCCCCTCCTGCCCTGTGGCTTTGTGGCGGCAGTATTTCTAGGCACGGCGGTTCTCTTGCATGCAACTCAACAGAACAAGGCCTCGGAGACGTAACTCAGGAACAATTTCAGCTGCGGCACAGTTTAGTCTAGGATCTGCCAACTTCAGAAGGCCACACAAACAGAAATAGGTCTTTTCGTTCTGTCACTTTTGCTGCAGGGATATTTAGTGCTCTTACCTCTAGTTCTTACACCGTTAAGTGATCTCTGTCCATTAAATGTATGCTTGTACGGTAATGTCGGCCAGTTTGACATTGGATAGACTGTTAAGGAGCTACTGTACTATTATTGAAGTCAGGCTTGTTGGCAGAGCTGAAATAAAACCATCCGATTAATCTCTCAGCTGGAAACAAATGAAATGGAAAATTAAAAACTCTGCACTTAACACGGAACATGGAAAAAAAACCAGAAGCCATAGTTTTTCTGTTGTAGACTCACACGAGGGCTTCCGTGATAATTGCATGGTTCCCAGCCAAGGTTACTAACTGCTCGGCTGCATGTTTGCACACATCATATTTTCCTCATGCATGCATATGACAACAAATGATCAAACATTTGAATAAAGAACCATCACCAACTCTTAATCAACCGTGTGTGGATTTTTGCTGTGATGGCATCTCGAATTCTTCGGGTACCACTGTCTAATTATATATATGAATATATATACATACATACATTATCTGTAACTGGAGCCGATCCCAGCTGACATTTGGCGAAGGCAGAGTACACACTGGACAGGTCGCCAGACACATAGAGGCAGTCAGCCATCTACGGGCACTTACGTGTCACCAACCATCGTTGGCATGTGTTTTTCCTCTCTGTTTTGTTTTGATATACGTATGAATGTTAATGTCATTAATACAGGGTTTTAATAATCAAGTAGGCAGTTGTTGGTGTTAATCTGATGCATTTATTTCAGTTTATACGGCTCAATGTTTCGGCAAACAGCCTCCATCAAGATAAGAACTACAGTCACCGGACTGGCATTGAGACCAAATAAAATCAACTGAAGGCCAATCGAAGGCCGAACACATGTCGTCATTATCAGGTAAACAAGCATCAAAAGAGAACACATCCTATATTCAAATTAGAGAAAGAATTTACAAAATATAACATAAAATGTAACATAAATAAAGCTTTAATTAAATACTAAAAGTCAAATGAAGTCACTTTGTAAAAAATAACATAAGAAAAAATGGTCTAACCAGCCAGCCAAAAAGTTGTTCTTATTAATGACTTATAACGGAAAAATAAAAGATGACTTATAAAGCATTACTAAAGTAATTAGTTACAAATTAGAAACAAAAATGTGTTGTGCTTGGTACAATCGGCAGTATGTGCTCCTTTCAGCCCATTCATTCTGTCTATGAGTGATTTTGTTGAAGGAATGTCATCTTGTATTTAGACGAAGTAGAAAGTAGTAGAATAGGGAAGTGGTTTATCGCAGTAAAATTTTCTATGACACTGTTTTAGCTTTCTGGGGAACTCCATCTTACAGCTGTACTCAGAACAAAAGTAAAGTTTGATCGGTCAGAAGGATTTTGAGACTTTTCACAGCAGTTGATCAAATTGTAAATGCAGCTGCTGGTATTTATTTTAACACCGTCTTGACCTCATGTCGAGACTTTATTTTTTTGCCCCGATGAGTGGTCAGTCAGGCTACTACGCCATAACTGCATTAGGTAAGGAGCAAAACCGTTTCCTTTTAGTTGGAGTGCAATTGCGTTGGCCTTCCAGACAGTTAATGTGAGTGTGCAGCAGTAGTCCATTTATCACAAGGTTGGGCTTTTCTCTCTCAGGCCCATTAGGTCTGCAGTGTACGCAGAGCTTGTTGTATTGATGTCCAGCAGTCATTGGTCATTGCCTGACTTACTGCTGAATGGATGGCCATTACATTATCATTAACCAGAGAGGAGTCTGGAGTCTTTGGAGCCGTAGGCAAAGTTCATATATAACCCAAAATATCAATGTCTTACATGCTTTATATTTATTGATCTTTCATTAAACTGCGTCATCATAACTCCTCCAGTCCTTTTCCTTATTACATGACTTAAACTAAACATATATA